GTGGACGTCAAGGATATTAGATGAACCTTAATCACACGCACACTAGGTTCGTCCCGCTGAATGTCAGAAGTCAAGAAGCTGTGAGATCGTATTTATTCTGCGCACAGAGCAGCTTCCGTGCACTTTATGGAGGGAAATGTGTTAGTCCGAACCGTGCTGGTTTTTTTTGAAAAGGCAAGTGGTAAGCAATAATGAATTAATATGTGTTCACTGTCAAGGTGGTCCTTTCGGAAGCAACAAAATGAGGGGCAATTTCGTTGGTAAAGTTTAGATCTAAAATGCGATTATCTCTTGTTGGAGACCGCGCAAGTCGGGACCAGTTTGAAAAGTTGACAATATCTTGGAAGAGGTAGAATCTAGGTGGGCAGATATTGGAAACCCAATCTATCTTAGGAAGGTTAAACTCCTCAGTGATTATTTTACCATCGAAAGCAGCTTCCTAAATTAATTTAAATTTTTCACAGAGTTGTGAATCATCACTGGCTAAAGAGTTTGGGGGATTGTAGATACAGCCAATTATTGGCTTTTTTGCGGCAAGAGAATAACAGTGTCAAAGCAGAGGTCCTCCGTGAATGAGGAAGCTTACAGATGACAGGGAGAGTGCTTTAGGTGGGATCTAATATAAAGAAGACAACCGCCCCCCGCTCCTGGTCGTGTGGTCTTGATGGTAAAAATCGAAGTCACCTATAGGAAGGGCAGGGTCATGAATTAGAGAATGGGCCCAAGATTCTGTAACACATATGACATCAGGCGTCATGTCAAGAGCACTGGCTCTGATTTTGGCCACCTTGTTTATAACAGACCTGGCATTCAATAATATAATATCTAATATGCTTCGGAGAGCAAGGCTATCGTCGGCGGCATTTAGAAAAAAAATTTGAAGGTGGACATGCAAGCTGTGGATTAATGAGGCTTGGAGAATAAGTACTAGCTAGTCTAGAGTTATTGAAGTACGGGTAGTCGGCAAGAGAAGGCTGGGCAGGAAACCTGAAGGATGTGTGGATATAGTTTTTGAGCATTGAAATGCTAGGGGAGTACGAACAGGCATAGGCTTGTTGGTAGTTAAATTGTGCAGGAAGGGGAGCAAGAGGAGGGAGCCTAGAAGGAAAGTAGAGGCTGGTAGGAGAGGGTGAGCAGCTATAAGAACAAAAGTGTGGGAGACCAGGTCTAGGTTGGAAGTCAAAGGAGTCGGGTTGTCTTACCTGAGAACAGTTGGCCTTAAGTGGTGGGAAGCCTGAACTAGGTTGGGGCAATTCATGTAGGAATTATTTACTGGATATAAAGCAGGCCTTTTGCAAGTAACCGGTACGCAGGACAGGAAATTATTTGGGGTATAATTGGAGCTGCGGGGATTGTGGACTATTTGGGCCGTAAAAGGCTTGGCAGAACTAAGAGAAGGCGACGGACCCCTAAATGGAACTGTACTACCTTTTATTTGGGTCGGAGTCTGATTCAATTTTCGAGTCTCACCGTTCTGACGCCAAGTCACAGGTGACTTAACTGTAGAGCTTGCAGCACCCTGTTGAACTGGGGAAGTTATCGGTCTAGCTGACGTAGACGGATTTTCATGCGTCCTAGGGGAGCTGTCCGGAGGATACGAAACGACAAATGGGGCTGCTGCTCACATAGGTGCAGGCGAATGCATCAGGTGGCCTGAGTGAGATGGAGGAGTAAGGGAAAAAGGGAGTCAGATGTCGCAGGAGTTGGACCAATTGAATCCTCACGGCCATTTGTATTATTACCGGGTTGGTGAGCATAAGACTGAGAAGCAGTGGATTTACGTGGGAACCAATTCTAGGTTTCATGGGACTAAGATCATGACAAAGGAAAATTTTTCCATTTATCAGGTACGCAGAGACACGGTCTCGATGGGCAACGATTGAGTCGGCCTCGACTGATGAAAATGATGTAACTAAGTTGGGTGAATTGTTGCTAAGGGAGGACAGGCGTTTTATGTTGGCATTTGCAAGGCCGTCATGGTCGCAGATGACATAAAAATACGGATCAAAGTCAAGTGCGATGATGGCGCAGAGATGTTGCAGTCGAACATCGACAAAATGTGTGCTTGGTCAAACAGATGGCTTTTGAAGATTAACGTATCCAAATGCGTGGTCTTGGACCTGTACACCGGCCGAAATGCCTCTCCCAAACACCAGTACTATATTAACGGGACGAGGTTAGAAACTGTGGAAAGACACGGAGATCTGGGTGTGTGGACGACCACAAATCTATTGCCATCAGAACACTGTAGAAAGATGGTCCTGAAGGCAACTAGTACTCTGACAGTTCGACCATCGATTTCGATGATGTCCGCCGTGTGCCCCACAGCTGCAGCAGCGGTGGCAACAGGGACGGTGAGTTGCGCAGGGGTTTATAGTGCCGGTAGACTTGCGCTGCGTCTACCTACACTCTCTCCTCCCTCGCCCGAGCCCGGTGTCAGGACAGAGTCAAGAAGATCGGAGACGAGGGAGGCCGCAGGTGGATGGTCCGGACGGATCCTCACCTTGGCGTTCCACCACACGCCCTGGTCCACATAACAAATAACCAGGATTTCAACCAACACAATGGAGATTGGAGGCTGGCAGGGCCGAAGCCGCACCTAGGCGTTCCGCCGACGCCTGGCTCGGATCCCACACTGTGGTGGGTGTGCCATAAAGGCCACATTAAGAAGGAGCCATTGCAGCCTGACTCTCAGACCGCCTCCAGTGAAGGAAGAGGTCCAAGTTACCCCGTCAGTTGGCAACCTTCCAAGACACGGCTTTTTGCGCACCGTGATAGCTTCAAGCGCGTCAGATTGATTATAGTGAGGAAAGTGCGCTGAGTCGTCGACCTCACTCTCACTTCCCATTCCCACACCGCAGCCGCTGTCCGAGCCGGTCAGCAGACTGGAGTGGGGAATGGGCGCGGTGGCTGGCATGATCGACTGACCATGACTGTGCGCGCCACGGTACGACCTGGCCCCCCATACACACACAAACACCAGGATTTCACACAACGGGGGTTGAACGGCGTGACTCTCACTTGCGTGAGAGGGCCGTGGAAGGTGCAGTTTCAGCTCGTCGCCCAGTCCACCAGTCCGCCACTCCACACAACCCACACACAGCGTGACGAACTGCATGGACCGAGTGTGGCGTCAATCAGCAACCTTCCTATCCACGAAGCTTGACGTGTGGGGATAGTCTCAGACTCAAGTCAGCCGTGCAGCCGAAGCCGCATGGAGACCGAGTCGGGATGCACACTTCCCACTTGCGTAGGAGATGGCAGTTGCGTGCTTGCGGTGTGTGAGTGCTGATGTGTGGTGGTGGTGGTGGTGGTGGTGGTGGTGGTGGTGGTGGTGGTGGTGGTGGTGGTGGTGGTGGTTGTGATGGCAGGGAGGGTGTTTTGGTGTGGTGTGGCCGGCGGTTGTTTACCGCAGGTCGTCGTGGATGCGCATGTGGCCGAGTATGCCCATGCGATGCGTGAAAGTGCAAGGGCAGTGTGGGCAGTGGAGGCGAGCTTAGTGGATATAGGTTGATGCTCCAGGCACTGGTTCGCCAGTCTCCGTGCGATGAATTCGCAAGCGGCCGACCAGGCCGAGGCGAGAGGTGAACGCGCGTGGACAGTGTGGGCAGGCGAAGTCCGTGGTGTCGGTGTCAGTTGCGATGACGGTGATGGGTGATAAAGTGATGATGGGTGATGAAGTGGGGATGGGATTTGGCGTGGTGGGTGAGTCGGGAGGGCGGTCAATTCCGCTCTCGTGGATGCGCATGTGGCCGAATAGGCCCATGCGATGCGCGAAGGTGTGAGGGCGTTGTGGGCAGTGGAGGCGAGTGCGGTGGGTGTAGGTTGGTGCTCCTGGCACTGGTTCGCCAGTCTCTGTGCGATGGATTCGAAGTGACTGACCGGGCCGATATGTGAGGTGAAGAATCGGTCGCAGTGAGGGCAGGTGTAGTCCTGGTCCTCACCCCTGGAGTCGGAGGTTGGAGGGATTGTGTCAGTTGTTGTGTCATGGATGTGTGTAATGATGGTGTGACGGCCACCAGAGCGGCCGTGGCTGGTGCAGTGGGGCAGGAGGAGGAAGAGGCGGAGGAAGAGGAGGAGAGGGAGGAAGGAGAGGAGGAGGAGGAGGAGGAGGAGGAGGAGGAGGAGGAAGAGGAGGAGGAAGAGGGTGATGACGGAAGTGGTGGTTCAGAAGAATTGTCAGAGTTAGTTGGCGGCGGAGAGGACGAGGAGGAGGCGGGCGGAGGGACGGAGGTTGGTGCGGTATGGGAGGTGCAGTTAGTCCGAAGGTGTTGAATGAGTCCGATTCATGTCCGTTGACACCGAGGACACGTTGGAAGCGGTTGTGCGTCGGCGTCGCGAACGGGGCGGGGCTGTGATTTGCGTGCTTCGCGTTTCACTTTGGCAGCGGCGATTCGGTTGGCCTCATAGATTGCAGCGCCTGTCTTCACTTTCCTCCTCCAGGTCGGTCGGTCGAGGGCGAGCTCTTCCCAGTTGGTCGGGTTAATTTGCAGATGCTTCAGGGAGGACTTCAGCGTATTCTTGTATCGACGAATTGGGCCTCCTTGGCGGCGAGAACCCGTCGCGACGTCTCCGTAGAAGAGTCGTTTGGGTAGTCGCTCGTCGTCCATGCGCACCAGGTGGCCGCTCTAAAGCAGCTGTATTTGTCCCAGCATGGTGTGGATGCTGAGGATTCCGTCCGTTCCAGCACATCAGTGTCGGGGACTAGATCCTGCCAGTTCAGCTTCAGGATGCGACGGAGACGGCTAAGGTGAAAGTGGTTCAGTCGACGTGCCTGCTTTGTGTATACTGTCCAAATCTCCGCTCCGGACAGCAGCGTCAGCAGGATGACGGCCTTGTACATCTTCAGCTTCGTGCTCAGTTGGAGACCGTGACGATTCCAGACTGTCCTTTGGAGGCGGCCGAAGGCTTGACTGGCTTTCGGGATCCTGCGAGCGACTTTGTCATCGATTTTGGCGTTAAGGGAGAGGGTGCAGCCCAGGTACGGGAAGTTCTCCACCACTTGCAGTTGGGTTCCGTTCACGCTGATTTGCGGCGCGTTGGGAGGAGTGGCTGTGTTGGGTGGCGGTTGATGCATGACCACCGTCTTCTGCGTGTTAATGACCAGACCGAAGTTCTCGCAGGCGGCAGAGAAGAGGTCCATGCTCCGTCGTATCTCCTCTACCGAGGTGGTGTTCAGGGCGCAGTCATTGCCGAAGAGAAGTTCGTGAACTGTGGTTGTGGAGACGCGTGATTGGAAGCGCATCCGCCGTTGATTCAGAAGGTGACCGTCCGTCCTGTAGGCGATGCGGATCCCGGGGTGTTCATCACGGTAGGCGTCCACCAGCATGGCAGAGAACATAAGACTGAAGAGGGTAGGCGCCTGTACGCAGCCCTACTTCACTCCGTCGGTCACTGCGAATGCCTCCGAGACCGCTCCGTTGTCCGTGACTCGCGCTATCATACCGTCGTGCAGCTGACGCACCATCTGAATGAATTGCTCCGGACAGCTGAATTTCTGCATGATCTTCCACAGTCCTTCACGATTTACCGTGCCGAAGGCTTTCGTCAGGTCCACGAAGGTAGAGTACAGTTGGGTCCGCTTCTCCTGGCGCTTCTCCTGAAGTTGACGGGCGGCGAAGATCATATCCGTGGTCCCACGATGACGACGGAAGCCGCATTGGCTTTCCGGCTAAAGGCCCTGTTCCAGATGGTTATTGAGGCGGTTGAGCAGGATGCGAGCGAAGATCTTCCCGCCGATGTTAAGTAGGAGATGCCGCGGTGATTGTCGAAGACTTGGCGGTTTCCTTTACGTTTGTATAGGTGCACGATGGTTGCGTCCTTGAAATCTTGCGGGACTTCGCCTTGACGCCACATCTCCTGGAAGAGCGCAGTCAGGTGATCCATTAGTTGGGGACCGCCGTGCTTGTACACCTCGGCAGGGATCGCGTCCGATCCGGGTGCTTTCCCGCTGGAGAGCTGTTGCACGGCCCTGATGGTTTCCTGGAGAGATGGCGGGAGGTCGAGGTCCACGTTGGTGTCCACTTGCGACAGACGGGCGATGGCGGCGTCGGAGATGGCGGAGAGGCGGTTGAGGACGCCTCGGAAATGCCCGGCCCATCTCTGTAGAATTTGTGTCTTCTCAGTCAGGAGAGTGCTACCGTCGGCGCTGAGGAGAGGAGCAGTGTCCTTCGTCGGCGGACCGTAGACAGCTTTGATCGCGGAAAAGAAGTTCTTCCACTCGTTGCGATCCGCGTACCCTTGGATCTCCTCAGCTTTGCAAGCAGTCCAGGCGGCCTGCATCTCGCGCAGTCGTTGCTGAAGGTGACGGCGACTGCAGTAAAAGGCAGCTCTGTTGGCGTCAGTGGGGTGGTCTACGTAGGCTTTGTGTAGGCGGTTCTTCTCGGCGAGCAGATTTCTGATGGCGGCGTCGTTGTCGTCGAACCAGTCCTTATGTTGGCGGCGTTCGCGACCGAGGACGGCTAGCGCCGTCGACTGGACCGTGTCTCGCAGTTGACACCAGCGGTTCTCCACGGAGGCGTTCTCGGCAGCGGCAGTATCGGCGGCGGCAGCCATAGGAAGGTTGTCTAGCCGTTGAGCTAGCTCATTGCTGAAATGAAGATGGTGAGCGGGCAAAGACAACAAAGCAACATTCAGCTTATCTGGGGGTCACTTACCTTGTGGTCTCCTGCGAGGCTGTAGGCGAATACGCATCTTCGAGATGACGAGGCGATGGTCGGTCCACCCGTTAGCGCCCGCAATCGCCCTTGTCACCAGCACGTCCCGCTGGTCTCGCCTTCGGGCGAGGACATAGTCCAGCAGGTGCCACTGACGCGACCGAGGATGCCTCCAGGTGGCCTTCTCTCGCTCCGGCAGACAGAAGCAGATGTTCGACAGGATGATGCGGTGTTCTGCGCAGGTGCGGAGCAGCAGCAGACCATTGTCGTTTGAGCCGCGGAGACCGTGGGGGCCCAACACTCCTCTCCAGGCAGTATGGTCTGTGCCGACGCGGGCGTTGAAGTCACCAAGGACAATCAACTTGTCCGCCTTCGACACAGTCGCCAAGAGGGCGTGCAGTTCCTCGTAGAATTTTTCTCTGACGGCGTTGGGGTTGGTCATCGTCGGAGCGTGACGCTGATGATGGTGGCGAATTTGCCTCCCCAGAGAGGCAGGCGGAGGCTCATCAAGCGATCGTTGATGCCCTGCGGCAAACAGGCAGTCGTCCCACGATGTCGGTCCGGATGGCAAAGGCGACACCCGCGTCTCGTCGCTCTGCCCTGGGCCGTCCACTCCAGAAGAAGGTGTAGCCGGCACCCACCTCCTCCAGTTGGCCTTGTTCGGAGAATCGGGTTTTGCTGAGTGCGGCGATGTCCACCTTGTAGCGCGCCAGTTCTCGTGCCACAAGCGCCGTCCTCCGTTCCGGTCAGTAGCTCCTCGGATTGTCTAAAAGGGAACGAAAATTCCAGGCTGCCGGAGTGAGCGGGTTCACCCTGCCAGTCCGGTGACAACGGGTGGGTCGACGGGAAGGAGGTGGAGAAGAAGGTGACGAGGGAGAAGAATAGGCAGAGGAAGAGGAAGAAGAGATAGGATGAGGATAATGAGTATGGTTGTTGTTTCGATTTCGAGTGTTTCGACCGTCAGTTTTGCGTATGCGACCACGGTGCACCTGTAGACGACGTGGTTCCCCGGCAATTTTTAGGCCAGATTTTCCAGGCCTCCTCCGAAGAGAAGCAGTACCCGGTCCCTGAATAGGGCTGCTTGATGTGCCGGCGCGGCCGAACTCCACTGTGGGCCACGATTTTGTTTGGCAGTGGAAGAATGACTCGAATTTGCCATTGGCTTACGGCATTGCCGTAAGCCTGCGGTCTCCTACGGTGCACCAGATGGGCGCGAGTCCGCGATGTCTATTCGAAGATCCATCCCACCGGCTGATCAACGGCTTATTAGGCGGAGCCTCTTCTCGACGATGCCGATGCGAGGTTCCACCAACCGGCTGACCGACAGCGTAGACGAAGCATCTTCACGACGGCGCCGACACGGTGTTCCATCCGACCAACCGTCCAGCGGAGTCCGCAGTACCCTGTGCATGTGGCACAACGCGCACTGGGAGTAACCGCCCTCACCTGGTTTATCCCGCCGGTCGAGGCGGTTGCCCAAGGTGTGGCCGCTGAGCAGAGCCCAACTATGTGGAGCCACAGGTGAGAGTTGGGTGACAGCAAATGGGCGCTAGGCGTAGACTCACGTGCAAGCAAATGAGCGACCACTACGACCGTCACATGAACTCACCGCTGACACCCCTACACCCCAATTAGTACTCTACACTGGATCAGATGTGCGTCTAAAATATTTCCTCCCGAACTCTTCGAGAGACTTTTTGGCGTTTTTGTAAGGCCTCGTCTAGAGTATGGAATGCTTGCAACTTCACCATGGATGAGGAAAGATATCTACTTACTCGAATAGGTGCAACGCAGAGCAATGGAGATGGTCGATGGTCTGAAGCATTTGCCTTATCAGAAGAGACTGAATGTGCTTGGCTTATTCCCTCTCTTTTATAGACAAATAAACTGCAGTCTACTTTGGACATTCCGGATTGTCTGCGGCCAGGTTTTCTCATTAAGAGCAGAGGACTTCTTTGAGTTTGCCCGTACAAACCAATTACGCGGTCATGCCTACAAAGTAAAGAGTGAACGCACACGATTAGGCCGTTGAAAGTTTTCATTCAGCCAGTGGGTTGTCCGACCGTGGAACTGGTTTCCAAGCGAGATGGTGACGGCATGTTTAAAGGGAAACTTTCTCGCCTAATTTTCGACAGACATCGGCTTTTACTGCATGAGTACCCATAGCCAGTTCTATAAAATACTGTCATATAAATCCCTCCGCATTAATTTACAGTGACCTGATGCACTTCCTTATCATTACGATTGTACTGTGACCCGATCACATTGTAAATGCCTGTAATTTATTTCGATTGCGAATCTGCGAAAGCACTGTGCATAAATAGGGTCATCAAGGGCTCTGCCTTTAACCCTCCAGATAAAAATATATGCACATATAACACATTTTGTCGTTGAAACCACACGAATACAGGAAATTTGTCACAACATTAACTGGCCGAGCAGATCGATGAGTATTCTTCAACAAAAAGTTGTAGGCACGCTTTTGTCTATCACTAGATTCACTTGCGATCAGGTGAACAAGTTAGTCAAGACGCCTACATTCTTAAGATAGAATATCGGAGATGTTCCCATCGTATAATTTTCCGAGAATTGAGAGCAAAGTGCCAAACTTTAGTATAGGATCACTGAAGTTGTAAAGTGCAGGCAGACTAAGCTGCCTAGCAGTTACAACGGGTGACGACTGACTAGTTACACCTTCTGACTTAGATTTAGGTAAGCCTTCTGAATTGGATTTAGTTAAGCCTTCTGACTTAGACTTAGTTAAGCCCTGCTTTCGTACAGAGGCTGAGAGCTTTCGCCGACCTGTGACTCTTACTCCCATCTGGTCTCGAGGCAAGGTGCAATTAAGAAAACTTCCGACAGATCAGGTGACTGAATTTCAGCTGGAAGCAAACGAGGTAAAAGCGATTACACGTTTAGAAGGAAATCGAATGCCCAAAACGCGAATTGCAGAGTGCGACTGATGGTCAACAGGCACAGACTAGCAGAACTAAAAAACGAAATGGCAACTGGTAGTTGTGAGTGAATAGGCCTGTATTTAAGGAAATTTAAAAAAACAGGTGCTAAAAGTGTTAGGCCTCTCAGAAAACCCACTTAAAATAATAACTTCCACTTATCTTCAAGTGTAAAACCAGTGACTTGACCTCGGCTTTGACCTAGTATGGAAACAGCTCAGGTCTCACATGTATGAGAGTGTGCCACTGAGAAGGAACCGTCGTGCTTTGACTCTCAGTCCACCATTCAGCCACACACCACACAAACTCTCAGTTCGCCCGAGTGCGTGGTTGGGGTTGAAGCATCAGTCGGCAACATTCCAACCCACGACTTTAGCACACTGTGATAATCTTGAGCACGTCAGATTGTTTGTGATAAGGGATCATGCTCTGAGAGTTAGCATTTCCCTAGCCCGTGCACTAGTCAACTGTTCGAGTCGAGCAACCAACCGGTGTTGAGACTGGGAGAGGTGGCTGGCCGAGCTTTTAACAGCTTGTCCGCTTGCGCCACTTGCACTGCCCGGCCTCTATACCAAAACACACATCAGGACTCCACAAATAATTAGGCAGACTGCTCGAATCTCACATGTAGCAGAGGAATCACATGGAAAAAGGAGCCGAAGAACATATTTCCAACTTACCTGGGAGGGCTCTGTCACTTAGCCTACAAATATATATACATAATGACAGCGGGCGCGTGCCGATCAGGTTACGGAACATGCTCGTTCCGCTGTGCCTTGGCGCTCATACTAGAACCCTAGCAGGCAGTCGCACAGCGACTAGTAGTAGACATAGATGAGATGGAGCCGAAGAAGACAAGGGAGACCGGAATGGCCATTTCTGGCTTATTAGCCGTCATTAGCCAGTCATACCCAGTCAGCCCAGTCATCTATCTATTTCAGCCCAGAACATCTATCTGTACACCACACATTTTTTACGTTGCAAATAGGGTACTCAAAGGCTTATGCCTATTTCCCTCAATAAACTGAACCGCGTCTTTTGAATTCGGTTTGAAATTTTCGACCTCCGTGGGATTTAACTTTTCCGAGTCTCCTGAGTCCTGGACACCCTGACGGCCTCTCGGAATTTACAAGTCGATTCTTCATAGCAATATCTCGATTCTCCCAGAATTTCAACGGGAGTCTCGTTCGGAAAACCTATCTCCTTTCGACCACACCAGGACTTGTGAGGGATAACCTATCTTCGTCCAGTCGCCTCTCTGCAACAGCACTGAGCTGTCCCCAAAACCTACGAAAGGCTGAGTCGTTTACCTCATATCCTCGATCTGGTTGAAAATTCGTGTCATACCTTTAAGAAAACCGTTTGAAACTTGTAAACTCGGTAATGTTATTCAGAGAAATGCCCTCAAAACACGGTGTAAAATGCGCGCCCAAGGCGGAATTTGAACCTGGTCCATCGGTCGGACAGACAACCGTCGTTACCACTAGGCCACTGACTCGTACCAACGTTGTTAAAAATAATAATACATAGATAGATAGATAGATAATTTTTATTAAAGACCCGTCGGGGTCCCATCAAAGCATATATTGTATTACGCATGATATTAATGACTGCAGTGTTGGACGTTCTGCTGTCAGACCAATGCCCGTAAGACGCGCAAAAAGTCTAGTGGCGTTGGGGGATGTCACATACGACGATGAAATCTGTACCACATGTTTCGGACTCGTTCATAAGTTTTCAAAAATGGAGGGGGAGTTAAAAAGTCTAAAAATGGAGGTAGAAAAGTTAAGGCAGCTTACTCACCACTTACATGGAGAGAAGAAGCCGACGAACTCGGCAATTCAGAATCCGAAAAAAACATATGCAACCACGGCTTCTTTAGCCATATCAAACGCTGAAACTGACGTCGGTTCGTCCAGGGAACTAGACACAGTTGAATGCCAGT